AAACTGTGCTCTATATGCTTCCCATGGTGACTTCCCATCGAATTCCTGTGGCTTCCATCATACTAGATCACCCCTATTGCTGACACTTCTGGAATGTGACTTCTGGCAGAACTGAAGATATCTGCATTAGGATTTAGCTGTGGGGTCTGGAAGCGGCTTCCTGTTGTCTGGGGCTGATTAGGTCCATGGTTAATGTATCCCCCTTTGTAAAAGACAGTAAATCGTCTTTTAATGTATTTAATTCACTTTGAAATTTACTAATGTTTTCCATTTGTACTTCTTACCACTGTTGTTGACTTTCCTGTAGTTGCTGCTGACTTTCCCGCAACTGTTGGAGACTTTCTTCCTGTTTCCTTTCTTGCTCAAGTTGCCACTGCTGTAGTCTCTCTTCTTGTTTATTTTCTTTCTCCTCCAACCACTGTTGTAGCCCCTCTTCTTCTTTGTTTTCTTTTTCCTCCAACAACTGCTGTAATCTCTCTTGTTTCTTTTCTCTTTCTTCTTGTTTCCTTTCTCGTTCTTCTTGTTTCTTTTCTTTCTCTTACAGCTACTGCTGTAGTCTCTTTTCTTGTTTATTTTCTCGTTCTTCTTGTTTCTTTTCTTTCTCCTCCAACTACTGCTGTAGTCTCTTTTCTTGTTTATTTTGCTGTTCTTGTATTGCTGCCATTCAATCTGCTAAGTCGTAGTTTGATTTGCTACTGCTCATTTCCATCTTTTTTTTTTCCTTTTCGACCCCACTTCTGACACCAATTTGTTGCGTATGTACTTGTTTGTTAATTTCCCGTGAAATTCTTTCCGAGAAAGTTCAGCGATACAAGTCGTTTCTTAATTAAAACTAGTTTTTCTTTCTCGACACAAATTTTATAATACACTTAACAACTTTTATAACACACACTATAGATCACAGCGATTCACTCACTTTACTTACGGTAACTACTGTTCCCTAGACTCAATTATCTATATCTTCTTTTTTTGCCGGGCTTATATACTAAAAACTAGGAAATTCACGATCATTTGAGAACTCCTCGCACACGCCACCAGCGTCACGTGACTTCTGCTGTCGTAAGAGGATTTTATTTGTAACATGATAAACCAGACGTGTTAAAAAATAGATTTTAACTTGTTTTCTGGGATAGTAAAACCATTTATACCAACATTTTTGATAATAGAAAGTTGAGTTAATATTGTTGCGTCATCGAGGTCGCGTGACTGGTGTGGCGCCACCTATTTTCTAGAACTATCCT